GTCTCAAACACTGAGTTGAGTGAGCTCTGCAATCTCAACAGTGATAGTCAAAAACAGCAGAAAGTCGATGCACACCTCACTGATGGTAGAAGTGAGTGTAGAAGCCACAGGTGAATGGTCCAACTTTAGTATTTTAGCACGTAGCCAGTCCCAGCATGCACCTGTTGGTCATGCAACATGGCACTAACGCTTGCAATGTTTACCTGGTGTTTCATTAATTCGGTGATTAATCCAGATGGATGCAACCTTATTTTTCTGCGTCTCTGTTGTTTGCTATTCTGTAACTCATTTTCCGTTTTTCTATGCAGAAACTTATGCTTTTAATTTGATTTTGAATTAATGGACCAATTACGTGCACATTGGATTTAACTTAATTTGAATATTAAAGAAAAAAATACTCAAAACAAATCTATTTAATGTGCGATCATCTTAAAATACTAAGTTTGTCCTGCAAAGAAAGTATATGGTAATGATTACCTCTCATAATCTCATTAATTGGTTCAACATAATTTCACTTGAGATTTTCATAATTCAATAAGCTTAATGCAAACTGTCGTATTTTTATTTGTTGAGTATTTTCCCTGAAGCCTTTTCAATTGCTTCCTTTCGATCAGACTCTTAAGTCCATATTTATAGATTTGACCTTTACATAGCAGGTTAAATGGACATAACCTAGTTGGACTGACTGTTGCTTATTTTGCTCTCATGAATCTAAACTTACTATATCCAGTCCAATTTAAAGACGTGATCATCAGCGGTAAGAACAAGCAGCGTTGTCCTCTGATAGTGTAGGTGAGTGTTTATAGATTGCGTTGAATAAATAAGCGAGGTTACTGAATGAACCCCTGGTTTCCTGCTGTAGCTATAACCAGTGGGAGTTGTTTGGTTTGTCTTAAAGGCAAAGAAAGGTGACAGAGCCCATAAAAAGTTATAAAATGAAGAGAGAGAGAGATGTGTTAAAGGACAACACCATGGAGACAAGACAAGAGGCTATCAAAGAGCGTAATACACAGATTCTCAATTATTGTGTGACATTAGCCCATTGCAGACAGTAACCCTTAATGATCCCATGGGTGCCTGCAGCACACTGTCCTTTAATGACTTCCTGGTTGAATGATTGTTGTTCGCTGGAAGCAGAATACTGCCGGGGAACCACAGCTTCACACGCAATCGTTCTCTTGCTTCTCAGAATGCTGTTTTGTTAATTTTTGCTGCAAAAGAAGTCCAACATGTGAATGGATGAAAAGAGTACTATCAAATAAGTGGCAGATTAGTCCCTGTTTATGTCGGCATCAAGCTATCCATGCAAATAGGGTGATCACAGAGGGTTGGATCAATTTAATGAGATTTGGACAGAGTGAAACTTCACAGTGCGCTAATTAGGCAGCCGGCTGCTACGCTCAATAAATGGAAATGTATTCCTTTCCGTTCCGTTCCCTCTATCAGTTTTTGTACTGTGCGTCACCCTGAGGAGTTTTAATAAAGCGCTAATTCTTCATCTAATTTTCCCCCAACTCCCCATTGTCTTCGCTCCCCGTGTCTCGTTGCCTCCATCCTTCTCCGTCTTTTCTTCTCATGCTGATAGCTTGTCCCACAGGATCCCAGCAGTTGTCAGTAATCAAGGAAATCATAGTCAAAGAGCTACAAATAGGTCACTTATCTGATGTCTGGTCTGATCTGACGGAGAGAGACAGCCAGTTAAGTCCTTTGCATCTGCCTCTCTCTGCTATTTTTAGTGTGATTTGTAGCCATTCTATCTGCAGGAGGTACTAGTGAGCAGGAGAATGAAAGATGGCAATAGATAGAGAGAAAGGGAGGGAGGGAAAGGAGAGAGAGAGAAAAAGAATCCCAGCGTTCATCATAAGCATTCAATTCAAATGGCTCAATTGAGCAGTTGTCACTCATGGGATTCCCTGGACTCCGAGCAGCGTTTCTTCTTCATTTATTCAATTTATTGATATGAAGACTCTTCATTAAGAGACACTGGTGAATGTGACATCAGGTCTCAGGTGGCCTTGATGTGGAATTTTAAGTAGTTGTGGAAGCACAGGCCTTATGACATGTAAAAGCTCCTTTGTCTCCTCTCGGGGCTATTACCCCAACTTCACACGGCTGCCTTTGAAGTTCCAGTTCAAGAGACAAATCTCATTCAACGCACACACTCAGACACGCAACCACGCACATGTCCAGACGCTCAAGCAGAAACCTGTGGCAGGTGAAAATTTCATGTGTGTTTTTGCCGCATGACGGCCTTGTGAATTATTGAGCTGAGCTGGTCCTTTTGATCCACGCTTTGGTGTGCACATAGAGAATCTCTTACCTGTCAAACACTTCACTACACACACACATGGTCACAGGCCAACTGTTATGCACTCAAAAAACCCTTAAATGCAGAAATAGCAGACGCAGGGTGGTGAAGCTTCTTTTTCTTTTTTTTCTTTTTGCATGTTCCTGCAGCTCGAGCAGATGGAACTCTTCATGGTGTGCCTCACTTCATTTCTTGTTGTTTTGAACAGTGAAGCCTAACAATGTTTGTCTTCCTCACAGATAAGACAGAGGATTTCTCAGGCATTTTCTTGTTACTGAAACGCATAATCCATCTGTTCCGCTCCACATTATCTATCTGTCATCCAAACAGATGACACCGATGATGAGGGCGAATTATCAAATTAGGTTATTATTTATAATATAGCTTCATCCAGCTTTGATTGGCAGATGGTGGGCGCTGTGAATAATACATGCAATTAGTCTTGCAGTATCACTGTCATGCTACAGTGATTACATGTACACCAAGTACACCAGTGCATTGATAGATTGCATTATACAATACTGTACATGACACCTGAGCCAACAGGATCCACCAAATAGATCCGGTGTGAAAGGAAAATTGCAGGTGTGAAAGCTCACAGTGGAGGGCTACACCGTGGGTGTGAGGAGACTGTGTTGGAAATTAAGAGGGAGGGTATCATGTTCAAACAGAGAGATGTTTTATGCAGAAGCCGCATCATTGCTGAACGGTTGAAGTTATTTCATTGTCATGCATGATCCGCAGCCCCACAGACCAGGAAAATTGCATTTGACTCTGTGACTATTACCTCTGACTTTTAACCATAGTAAAAAAAACAACACTTAACTCAGTGTCTTTCAGAAGCTGAAGGGGGTGACAGCGAAAAGACGACATGAGGATATAACACTGTGACAACTAAAGCTTAATCAGCTGCTATTCTAATGATTAGTCATTCATTTTTTTTTATTTTTCAAATAGAAAAACAGTCCATGGTTTGATTTGATGCTTTGTCATTTAGTCGTATCCTAAATATGTTTGGTTCAGGCCACTTAACATAAGCCCTATAATACTGGGTTTAGTGAGTCATTAAGTGCTGTGATTTGAAAATGATTAATGCAAATACAGTGATTAAACAAAAACACTGTAATCGCATCGTAGTTAAAATGTATACCAAGCTGTATTGTACTGGACCAATCCTCAGTGTGGCTATGGTGTGATTTCTGGGGTTTGAGAAAACAACATAAATCCCATAAATGATCTTCATTTATCAGACCTATTCTTTATAAAATAATGTGTAGTTTTACAACTTCATGATCCCAAATAAATGAAACTGCTCTTCACATGCATCCAGAGACATGCATCCAGTGATGAGGAGCTGCAACATTGTTCAACTATTCAGGCATCGCAGTCATAAATAGCTGATGACATAAGAAATATAATTATTTTACCGTTCATTTTATTCATTTTCTTATTGAGATCATGTTCTTAAGCTTAGGGAACATTATAAGCAAGGTTCCGTGTAATTACTGAATTCTCTCGCAGTGGTATGCTGTAATTAAACAGACAAATTAAACAAAAGTGCACAGTAATTTGTCTTGACTTGTGTGTTCATGGTTCATGAGTCACAAGCTCTTGAATTTCTCTCGATGATGAAAAAAACACATTCATAAAATTTGGAATAGAAATAAGTGATCAGTTCATCTGGTGGACTTCAGGATTATATTTTGCTTAATTACTGTTTGTCTTTAAGACGACTGTGTTTTTACTCATTTCCACTGATGTGTATCATTTGAAAGAGGGAAACAGTGGTGATGTAACAAAGTAGATTTACTTTATTACTGTACCTTTTGTTAGCTGTTTGATGGTTCTGACTATTCTAAGCTGAGGTAACCAGCTGCCAGTTGTGGCTCAAGTACAGATTTTATCCAGGTGATTTATGTGAAGCTTGGTGCAGAGGTGAGAGGCTGTGTGTGCCTGCTTCATAATGGTCTGCCCCATCATTTCTGAAGCAGTACAGTGTCACAGTCGAATCATTACAGCCCATTGAAAATCAATGCCACTGTATGATATACAACACTCCTTTGTTCTTTAGTCTTCTTTAAAGTCAGCAAGGTTCTGAGCTCAAGTATGAATGATTTCATATCTGTGGCAGAGGAGGCATTCATATAGAAACGTGTAAAATATAACAGTCTTTCTCATTTTCATTGTGTGTGAAATAAGTGTCGAAGATGTAGCAGCAACATGTGGATATGAAAGTCAAGCTAGGCACTTTGTAGTTGAGAAAAATAGCTTGAATCAGTTTCACATTCCCCAGGCAGAGACCTTCATAGCTACAATAATGTCTTTTTACACTTAGTCAAGGTCTGCTGAGAAACTGCAGTGAAGTAAACCAAAAACTCAACAGGTCAGATAAAATCCTCTGACAGTGGATCTATTTGCCTCGCTGCACATTGTGCAATTTTTTTCTATTTTCTCCTTCAGCCTGTGGGTTCAACGTGTGACAAAGGAAGCTCACAATGGAAATGTTATCATCAACGCATCTCTCAAAAATCCAATGTACTCTCTGTACGTTCTTAAACTTTTTATTTTGCGTGTTTTTGCTTTTGACAATTTATGTCCCTTAAATTGCTCAGAACATTTTGTGCCCTTTGTTGCAAACCTGTAAAACCAAGAATGAAAACTTTCTTATCTTTTTCAACATCTGTGTCTTCAGATCCGCTCAGATCAGGATAAGGATGTCGGCATCCGCTACAGCATCACAGGAGCAGGAGCCGATCAGCCCCCGAGTGGCATCTACAACATAGATCCCATCAGCGGCAACATGTTTGTCACTCAACCCCTGGACAGAGAGGAGAGAGCCTCCTTTCATGTAAGCATCAAATCACTGTCTTGTCTTGTTTCTGCTTCCCTCCAGATCCATTTATGCTTATCCCTGTGAAAGATGTGCCTCGCCTTTCCTCTTCCCCCATCTACCTTTTCTAACAACACTAATGCTGTCTGTCGAAACACGGTCTCGAGTTGGAGCACATTCGTAGGACTTACTCCTCCGTTAGCCTCTACACAGTGCCAATGCCAGGCTCTGACTGATACCTCAGCCAGACATGACTTAAGGAAAACCTTGAGAAAACACACACAACCACTTCAGCTGCCGTTTACAGTAGATGGAGATTTAACTGCACAGTTTAGCGCAGGAGCGATAGAAAAGAGAGACAGAGAAACAGAGTCAAGGTGGAGTGGAAGAAATCTATTGCCTTTGTTCTTTCCATCNAGCTGTAATATCAAAATCAGCTGTAATATCAAAATCATTCTGTAATGGAAAACTTGCATATGACATTAGTTTGAACTCTTTCCTATGTCTGATCATTGCTCGTGTGCTGTGTTCGACAATAACTCATATAGAAACACAATTGTGCTTGCATAAGAGGAACTGCTTGGCAAACGTGCAGACGGACGATTTGAAACAACACACTAATCTTTGCAGTAGCAAACTTCTTTCGTTCATGCAGAAGTAAGAGCAGTTAGCTTCCTGTGTTAACCAGACTAAAGGTGGCTTCCGTTTTTCATTTGCCATTACTCAGAAACAGTTATCTCTTATGTTTCCTGTTTACCTGACTGTATAAAACCTTCTTCTTTCCCTATTTGAAGGTGTTCCACTCTGAGCATTCATGCTGAGTGTGAAACCCTCTGCAGAGCTCTATTAAAGACCCAAAGATAACTCCGGTCTGAAAAAAACTCTTTATTTCACATCTCGAGATACATTTCCACCACAATTCTTTTCGAATCAATTATATTTTTATGCTTTATATGGCAAACAAAGCAATTTCTGCAAAGGCAGGTTGTCACAGGAACAAAACATCATAACATCCCACCAGTTAAATATTACACTGGGTAACCAGATGCTTCTGCATTTAATACTGTTATGCAAATGAACTGTGCTTGGCTTCTTTAATATACTGATACCCCAACATTTTCAGTAAACACACACTGTGTGTTCTAATTTGTAATTTTATACAATTAAAATCAAACAAAAAGTATGAATGTCAACATCTCAGAAAATATGCAATGCCTAACTTACGATTTGAGGTTGACACCACATCCATCACCCAAACTGAGCTGTTTAGAGCGACTTATAGTAAATTCAACATGTATGAGGGGCCATTCGAGGGTTCAGTGCCTGGATAGTTCTGCTAATTAACTGTTAACATGTGTTTGTTAGAGGACAACACTGAAATTAGCTGGTTTCAATAAAGTTGACAGTGATGTTATCTTCAAACAGAAAATCAGAACAGAAGCAAAGAAAGAGCTTTAAGCCATTCTCATCTAGTTCTCTGACATACCTCATATCGGTCTCCAACTCTCAATAACAAACATGACAAGAAAATGAACTAAAACATCATCATAGAACTTCTCCAGTTAATGACTTATACATTAGGACAGTATTTTCCCCTGAAATGTTGTTTACATATGCAGATTAGCTTGTTTGGTGAATTTAGGAGAAATCTACTGACACAAAGGGTAAAACATCACCATCAAAATGTGTATATTTGTATTTTCTTTCCATTAGAGCGAAAAAAGACATGGAAGCATGGAACCAACTTTGTAGCTTTAAGAGTAGGCTTATTTTTTTTATGGTGAGAACAGCTGTTTTCAGTTTTGTCTGGAGATTTTTGTTGATTTTGAAGTGTTGCTTATTTAAATGCCACCAAAAGAATTCAAAGGATTTATTGCCATGTGAAAAATAAACATGATTAGTACAAGTTTTGAAAATTCTTACTAGTTATTTTAAATATAGAAACCAGCAGTAGAGTTAACATGCTCATGGTGGTATAGTTTCCTTGTTGGTGTTGCCTGATAAACCAAGTGAATACTAAATAAGTCCATTGTCTCTGTGTGAACTGTTTTTAACAACTGTGTGAGTGTGAGGGTGAGTCAGAGAAAATGTCCTGAATGAAGGTGGCCTGGTCAAATGATCCAAGGTTGCGTGGTGCTTTCTCAAGGATTTCCTTCATGGTTTTGATATGTACGACAAGAAAGATTCTTTGATACTGTTGACGGTGACACCATACAGGGTTTCCTCCAAGAGTGGAAGTGGAAAGTGCATGCGGAAACATCCACTGCTAGCCTCCCTATGACAAATGCTTTTCCAATGGCTTGCTCTCTGTACCCACATCTCCTCTTTTCCCCATTTTTCACTGGTCACCACAACTGCTCAACCGGTTGCCCACACTGAATCTGGTTCTGTTGTCTGAGGTTTCTCCCAGTTAATGAGGGAGTTTCTTCTCTCCACACTCAAAGTGCTGCTCATTATTGGAACTGTCGGGTTTCTCTGTTTTGTTAGATCTTGACTTCACTATGTAAAGTACCTTGAGATAATGTATGTTATGATTTGGTGCTATAAATATATACTGTACTAATATTCTTATATACTGTCTAACAATAACATTACCATCATATCATTATTACTATTATCATCATATTGCCACTGCACTACTTGTCTGCCTATTCATCTTGTGTTTCTGTTTCTGTTCTTTTTACCTAAATGTTTTGTTTTGTTCTATTGCATTGTGTTTTGTTGTGTTCCGATACACAAGCTGCTATGACACCTTAATTTCCCTCCGGGGATGAATAAAGTACTCTATCTAATGAGCAGGTGCAGCGTCCAGTGTCTGTATACGTGTGTGTTTGAACCCTGATTGATATATGATGTGTGTTTGTGTCCCTTCTTCTGTGTGTGTGTGTCTCACTTTTCCTTTATGTACTGCTGCACTGTTTTACTTAAAGGTCCAGTGTATAAGATTTAGGTGAAAGGGATCTATTGGCAGACATTTAATGTAGAATAATCCTCATGATGTTTTCACTAGTTCGTTTCATCTAAATTGTATGAATTGTAGTTTTCTTTACCCCAGAAAAGGTCCTTTATATTTAAATACTTTATATTTACATTGAGGGGACCCTCTCTACGGAGGCCGCCATGTTTTTTACATTAGTTCAGACTGAACAAACTAAACACCTTTTGAGTTTTTATGACAATTAAAGGCCAGCACAGTTTCTTTTTCATGTTTGGAAGGAGAGAGTGAGGTGAGGGATGTTCAGCTGCAACATGCAATTTCAACACTAGATATCACAAAATTCTACACACTGTACCTTTAACCACCCCTTGCACACATTGTAGAGTACTCACCTTGTGCACTCTGCAGCTGTGGTGTTCAAAGGTGCAGGCTAACAGCTGTATATTTAGCCTTCTAACTATACAGTTAGAAGCCCCCCCACACACACACACACATAAACAGACACACACATACACAGGGAGCTTGGGAGTTGAGTTGAGGACTGGCCCCTCTGGAACTTTGGGTTAAACAGCTCTGTGGCAGTGTGAATTAAATATGCAGGCCACATGAGACTTGTGTTAACGCCAGGCCATCGGTTAATAGATACACATTATAGTTTTCAGTGTATATCAGCAGAGACACCTCCACTTGCAGTGAGTGCTGGTGTCAACACCCATGTGGCTGTCAGCATGATAGATGGCTGCGCTGCTGATAGAGCTAATTCAGAAGCGTGCTCCTGTCTCCGAGGAAGGATAGAATAAAGAAAAGTGGATATTCAGTGTCTGTCAGCGCACACTCTCAGGAGTCTGCAAACATTATAAACGCACAGACACACGCACACGCACACAAATGTACGTGCAATGACTATAAACAAACAAAGCTCTAGATGATTGCCTTTCTTCCTTGGTTTGTCTCATACTCATCTGTGTGTTTGCATGTGTGTGTGTGTGTGTGTGTGTGTTTGCATGTGTGTGTGTGTGTGTGATGTATTTAGTGTCACATGAGCCTCTTGGTACCTCACTTGCTTAGTTCAGGCTCTGGACTCTGCTGTGAGTGGTTGTTGTCTCTCCGTACCTGCTCTAACTCTCAACCAGCAAATTGGGATCAATAAAGCTGGTAGGATGTTGGTCCTGGGAAAGGACAGCCGCTCAGTAAACAGTTCTTATTTGACACTGCCTGTGGTAAAAACAGCATGTTGGGTTGAGGGTACTTCAAGTCTAATGTGGCTAATGTTTAGGCTCCCGTGGACCCATGTTGCTTGTGATGTGATGTATGATTTAGTGTGGGAGAAGGTAGGCAGAGTTTGACCCAGGGGAAATTTAGTCCAGTGCTTACTTTCTTTCAACTTGACAAGAAGTTCCCACCACTGCTGTGCTCTCACAGGCCAAACTTTGCTTGTTAGTTTTGGGTTCAAGTGAAAAGAGAGACAAGGCTGCTGTTTCTGTCAGACTAGCACCAGGGGGAAGCGATCTGCGAGGTGAGTCGAGTGGGTGTTAGCCTGAGCTTCTCTTTTGTCAGACAGAGCTGCATTGAGTCAGTGGGGCACGTGGAGAATTGAGCAAGATGAGAGAGTCTCTGAAAATGTTTTATTTGTATTTATTTTCGCATGAATCCATGAACTTCAGAGTTTAGTGAGTGTTGGTGATCACAAACACCGTGGACATTTGTGTAGAATTTGTTTGCAAATGAACATCGTTCAAAGTAAACGATCTAAAATTTGGAAATAGAGAAAAAATATATCATATTGCTTATTGCAAGACTATTGGACAAGAGATCACAAGTTGGGGCCATTTGTTCAGCATGTATGTGAACTGAACAAATTCAGCCTGCGGATCTCAATTTGAAACTCTGCGTCAAGAATTCAGTGCAAAGCTAACTCCCTCTGGTATTAAAGCAGCCTCTTGCTAACACTTTAGACCAAAGTAATAACTGAAATCGTAGGTGTTTTTTAGCAGCTGATATGCAGACATTATCACACAGGGTTTTAACACATGCTGAAAGTAATAAAGTGTTAGTCTAAGAGATTGGTACATTTATATGAACCATTGTGCTATGGTATATGGTATATTGATTCACTTTTGTAATTTGATTTTCTTCTTAGTAGGTTGCAGCAGTATTACAGACTGTAAGAATGACTCCCATAGTCTCAGAAAGAAAAGGTTTTGCAGTACCAAAAACAAAACCAGGGTAGAAAACAGTGATCTTCCTGTACTATTGCATCCCTAATTACTTTGCCTGCTAGTGGCTATGTGAGTCTGTTCTTAGTTAGCTAAATAATAACATGTTGATTTCAGTTGATTGTGCCTGTATGCTAACATTTGGTAATTAGCATAAAGACAAATGATGGGAACGCAGTTAGCTTTGGAGGTATTTGCTCGTTAACCAAAGTTTTGAACTTTTTTTAAGTTAATAATGGCTCAAACATCAGAACATCGTTAAAGCCATTAGGGTACTTTATCTGGAGATGATGTATGTGACAATATTTTTGTTGAATAACATCCAGCAGATGTTGACAACCTACAGAATAAGTGAAAACTTTGACTTGTTGGTTGCACTGAGCAAGAGGTAAAATCATCAGGGTAAATGGAATTAATATCCTTGAAACCTTTAATATCTATCTATCCATCTTCCTCTCTAGGTATATAGTAGGGTCAGCTGGTTGACAAGCTAACAGTGCCATCACTAGTGTGGCTAAAAAATACTAAAGATTACAGCAGTATTTCTGATAGGATTTTTAATTATCTGGAAAATACTTGATGAATCCAGCAACAGTAGTTTTTAAAATTGTCTCTTCTTTTACATTCTGTAGGTAGGTGTTTCAAAACAGCAGCAAGAGCCAAGCACAATATTTCAGCAGCAGAGAGGGAACCACATACAAAATTCAGCTCAGTGTTGCCTCGGTTCTTCTCAAGGTTCTCCTGGAGGATGCCGGTTGGAGTGTATGTTGGTGAAAGACATCAAGGGGTCAAATACAAACTGTATTCCACCTCGGTTGGTCAAGTCATAATAAAACTAACCTTGCAGAATACCGATGTCTGCTCACACATACATTTGTCTGCACCACACATACACTCCCCCAGGCCCTCAGGTCATCATTTCAATTCCTCCATTGAACACACAAATACAGAGACACACATACCACACAGATAGAAATATGATATATAAAGTATTTGGGAATGTATGCACACAAATCTGCACATAGAAAGGAGGCCCATGAATACAAACTTAAATGTCATATTCAGACATTTACACACACACACACACAC